CACCTACGCGGATTGTCAGGATTGACGATTGCTCTACTTAGTGTATTGAGCACTTTACTTAGATACGTTTGCTGTCTTTTTCTTTAGACTCTGAGCTTGAATTCTGGACGATTGTTTTCGCCTCAATTTCATGTTCTTAGTTCTTTCTTTTTTATCCCTTGTTTTTCCTTGGGCATTGGTTCATTCGTTTACAAACCAAAATACCTAAGGTTTTTCAGATTAGTATAACTATTTATATTATATATATATATATATATATATATATATATATATATATATAGAGAGAGAGAGAGAGAGATAGAGAGAGAGATAGAGAGATACTGCAATTCATTTGGTTTATTGTTTTCTATTTAACCAAATTCTTCTTTAAGGCAAAATAATTATTCATTTCAAATAAAATCTTGCATATGCATTTTATCTTTGTTCAATCAAAATGCAATCGAAACAAATTGAAGGAATCATTTCAGACAGACGTCATCAGAATAATTCAGTTATTTCCTGGAGAAAATATCATTTCCATCACAATCTGATTGAAATAGAAGCATTGATTGAGTCCTTAAATTTTATCCAATCAAATATGATTACTTATTTTTTCAGTTACTAAAATAACCAATCAACATTAAAATCAATATTAAATCAATTTTTTAAAATATGAAAACATTTAATATTTAGTATAAAGAATATTTTGATAATTTATTTTATTTTATTATATTTATTATATTTTAAGTACTCATTTTAATATTTTAATATTCATTTTGTTATTGCAAAAAAATTACTATCTAAAAAAAAAATTATTTTTAATATTTTATTTATTTTAATCTTTTATTTAATTATATTTAATCTATCACATTTTAATCTTTTTAATATCTTAATCCTTATTTTAATATTTATTTTATTATCTAAATTTTTTAAAATATTCTATTTATTTTAATATCTATCTAAATAAATAAACGACAAATTCTCTCTGTCCGTGAATATGCCTGAAAACCTTCTAACTTGGGAAAAATTTGTTCTACATAGACATATTATGCCTTATTGGAATCAGGATGATCCCAGGATTGAAGATCTGCCCTTCATCTGGTGCTTGAACATCCGGCATTGGAATTTGTGTCCGAATAAGGGGGGAACAGTTAAAAATTCAAATTTTAAAATATCTGAAAAAAAATAGTGATTTTTAAAGTTTTTAATTCATATTGAGTTTAAAGTAACACAAAAACTTTGACAATTTAAAAAAATTGTTTTAAATTCAATTAAAACTATCTCCAAAACTTTGTGAATTGAAGAAATCAATTTTATTTCTTCAAAATGCCAATGAATCAGAATTAAAGAGAGAGGTTTCTTGACGTGAGGTTTTGAAGTTCCACAGTGTTTGTTATTTGAAGAACTCAACTCAACTGAAGTTCCATGCAGTTTGGGATTTGAAGAACCCAATTTTTAGGCTGAATTAGAACTTCAGCCCAAATCGAACTTTCAGCCCAAATTGCTGGAATTGGACTTATAGCCCAAATCAGAGTTAGAGTAAGGTATTGAATTTCTATTGAGTGAATTGAGGAATTCGAAATTATTTCTTCAAAATTATCTTTGCATTTTCTAAACTGGACCAGAGGTCCCTTTAGTTTTGGACCCAAAGCCCAATTAGCCCTCTGCAGGAGCTTGCTTAAAAGTACTAAAAAAGAGATATCCCTAGATATGGGCAATAGTATGATAAGAATTTACCTACTTTAAATTAAATAAAGTGTTTTTGTTCGAAATTTATCGTGGCATGGGGCTTAAAATGAATGGTTGATTTACTCACACCAAGAAGATTAATGGAGGATGATAAAGACGAGGAAACACACGGTTAATTTTAACAAAAGAAGATAAGGAATTTATTCCCGAATTTACGTGCTTGAAGTAATCTCGGCAGCTCATTTAAGGAAAATAAATCAGAATTCTTAAAGTCCGTCGTTTCAAATGATTTTCGTGAAGAGGAAATCTTCATACAACAGATCTGACATGAAATAATATTCAAAACAATTACACATAGGCTTGTGAATTTTTTTTTCCTTCTTCCTCAGCATACTGGTTAATTTCTGTGAAAGGCAAAAATGTCACATGGACTAAGGAATTTCTTTCCTTCTTCTTCCTCAGTTCATCAAATTTGAAAGGAGTGGGTTAAGTGCACTCAGATAATACAATTTCTCGGCGTATTAAGGATTTATTTGAAAATATATGGAATTTCAGGTCTCACCCCTAAAAAGTTTGCCTTCCAAAAACTAAGCAAAATCTCCACAAAGTTGAAACAGATGCAATTCTACCGATATCAGTGGTAATCTCCAACATTTAACATTCAGTAGATTTGTTTGTAAAGAAAAAAATTATGCAACGGTTTTTATTTTGACGATATCTACAAACAACAACAACAAGCCAAGATATTTTTGATTTGATCGATAATTATTCCAAATTTTAATAACTTGACTTGGGATTCCTGCATCAGTATTTGTACGGATAGGGCCACCACTATTTGTACAACAAATAAAATAATCTGACACAAAATAATATTCAAAAACAATTTCACATAGGCTTGTGAATTTCTTTAAACTTCTCTGTCAGTAAACCAGTTAATTTCTGTGAAAGGCAAAAATATCACATGGACTCAGGAATTTCTTTCCTTCTTTTTCCTTTCATCGAATTTGAAAGGAGTGGGTTAAGTGCACTCAGATAATGCAATTTCACATGTGTAATTTGTGGCAAAAGATTAGTAAATGAATCTGTTGTTTTATAGTGACGTGGGTCTTAGGGTTTTAAATGAGCACTTGATCGACCCACATAATGACAAGGAAACACATGGTTAATTTTTAAAAAAAACAAGGTAAGGAATTTATTTCTGAATTTACATGCTTGAAATAATGTCAGGGTAACTCGTTTTAGGAAAATAAATCAGAAATGTTCATACAACAAATTAAATGATCTGCTTACTTTAAGACTTCCTTATGAATCACATGCTCTGTCCATTGCATCCTCAGCATCCTTCTGTAGAGCCACATTACTGTTGCTTGACATCCCTTCATTTGTGAAGAGATTGTCCAGCATTCACTACCACATAGGAAATTAGATATCAAATAGCAGTCCAGCACACTTTCCTTTGTTGTAAGAGGCATTTTTCCAATCTCATAGGTCCTGTCACTAGATCTAACTAATGCCTTTATCCACTGTGCCATGTGCCCTTGAGACAATAAAGGCGTTAATTAATTCCAGTGACATGACCCAAAGAGTGTGAGTTCAATACCCAGATAAGGCAGTGGAGAACTTGGAGAGGGGAATTAACAGGAGATAACTGATAACTGACATCCATTAAACATGGCACATGGAACTAGAACAGTCTACCCCAGTGAGCGAAATAAAGGGTTCATTTTGACATTCCAACCACCTGAAGAAGGCCGGAGCGTACAACGTCCGAAACGTTGTAATAAATATGGCGACAAAGATGAGAACAATAGTCTGAATAATGTAAATAGTGTACATAATACCTCATCTCAGAAATATAGACAGAATGGGAAAGTGACTGAAGCCAAGATACCAGATCAGGACCAATAATATTGCTGATTCTTATTTGGATTTTAACAAGGATTTTTAGATATATAACAGTATTTACTGAATTCATTTTCTATCCATATGCAGCAGAACTTATGTTTCTGTTTCTTAATATGTTTTTCTGAACTTTTGAAATGCATCTTTCACTATCCCAATGCACCTTCGGATTTCAGTGTCACACTTTCCATCCTGTGGTAAAACACTTCTTAGATATTAACACTGTTGTACTTGCTTGATTTTGGTATCCCCAGATATCAACTCGCTGTATATATTGAATATGGCCAGTGAGAAGACACATCCTTTTCTTACACCTGTTTCTATTTTTGTATATTACATAATAGTTAAGTACTCTTTTCTATCTATCTATATAGCTAGCTAGCTAGCTATATATATTTTCCTATTTTTTAATACTTTGCTTAGCTTTTGGAAGGTATCTTTTGCTATCCAAATGTGCCTTCGGACTTCAGTGTCACACATTCCGACCTCTGTTAAAAAACTTCTTAGATATTAACATTGTTGTACTTGCTTGATTTTGGTATTCCCCAATGTGTAACTTGCATGTTGGGGGTGTTCCTTTTTGCTGACAACCATACATTCTGTCTTCATGTTATTGATGTTTTTAATCCTTTCTTCTCGCTTTCCTTCACTACTTTCTATATGATTACTTGTAGTTTTTTAAAACACATCCTAGATATCACCTTGCTGGATACATTGAATATGTCCGGTGAGAAAACACATCCTTGTCTTACACCCCTTTCTATTTTTGTATATAGCATAATAGTTAAGTACTCTTTTCATTGTGTCTAACAAAATTTTCTTATTTCTTAATACTTTGCTTAGCTTCTGGAAGGCAGCTTTTACTATCCAAATGTGCCTTTGGACTTCAGTGTTGCACTTTCCATCTTCAGTTAAAGCAATTTCCAGATATTTATATTTTAGTACTTGTTTGATTTTGGTATCCCCAATTTGTAATTTGCATGTTGGGGGTGTTCCTTTTTGCTGGCAACCATACATTGTATCTTCCTACAATTGATGTTTTGTCCTTTCTTCTCAATTTCCTTCACTACCTTCTGTAGGAGTTCTTGTAGTTTCCATTCTGTGTCTGCTATCAATATGGTGTCATCTGCACATCTTATGTTATGATTGTCGCTGTCAATAATGAATCCAGGTAGGACTTCAAATTCTCTCATGACTGCTTCACTGTAAACATTGAATAAGTATGGTGTGAAGACACATCCTTGCCTTACACCTTTTCTATTTTGGGGCATTTTCTATCCATATGCAGTCGATTTGCATCAAATATAAGTTCTGGATAATTCTAATATCTTCCCAAATAAATCAAGTGACCCATTTTTGGAAAGAACAATCATAGGTGGTAAAAAATGAATTTATTACAACAATGTGGAGCAAAAAGTACTGGGAGAAAATTAAATGAACTGACATAGATAGATAGATAGATAGATAGATAGATAGATAGATAGATAGATAGATAGATAGATAAACATGAACCTGAGATGTAAACAGGCTGAGATAGAGGGATACATACATACATGCATAAATATATACAAACATATAAACAGACTTAGATAGCTAGATACCTAGATATATGGATAGAAACAGACTGAGATAGATAGATAGATAGATAGATAGATATCAGAAAACTGAGATAGATAGATAGATAGATAGATAGATAGATAGATAGATAGCTATGAATAGACTGAAGTAAATAGATATGAACAGACTGAGGTAGATAGATAACATTAAACTGAGATATGAACAGGTTGAGATACATACATATATGCAAAAATATGATAAAGATAGATAGATAGATAGATAGATAGATATGAACAGACTGAGATAGATAGATAGATAGATAGATAGATAGATAGATAGATAGATAGATAGATAGATAGATAGATAGATAGATGTGAACAGACCGAGGCAGATAGATGTGAACAGACTGAGACAGACAGATAAGATTAAACTGAGATATAAACAGGCTGAAATACATACATACATATATGAAAAAAATATGAACGGACTAAGATAAATAGATAGAAAGATATGAACAGACTGATAGATAGATAGATAGATAGATAGATAGATAGATAGATAGATATGAACAGACTGAGGTAGACAGACAGATAGGAACAGACTGAGATAGATAGATAGATAGATAGATAGATAGATAGATAGATAGATAGATTTGCAAAAATAAGTAGAGAAGATAAACTTCCAAACAACTAATATGAGCAATATTTCATCCAAGAAATTTGGACAACTTAAGACCATTACATCTTCCCTAGTAAGAAAGCAACCATATTTACCATACACAAAAATGTCTAGTAGAAAAGAAAAAAGAAAAGCATGTAGTCATTAAACAATGACAGGCACTTTGCATATGACAAACACAGATTCAGATTTAGACAGAAACTACAGCTGTAAAAGATTCTGAATAATTAAATATGTATTTTTAAAGTTTACAATGAGCAGCCTATCATATGTTATTATTTGCTAACCCTTAGGACCTCATTATGTCTGAAACCAGCTGTGGTCCAACCCATCAAAGACAATAACAATGTTCATAATATTAAACAAAAAGGATTTCTATAAAAGAACTGCCACATTCACTTCTTTACCATCTATGGAATATCTAATTGGCATCCTCATCAGAGCTAACAAGATTGTCTTTTTGTTGTTGCTCAAGGCTGGGGACATATTTTTCTTAATCTCTGCAGGGAATAGAAATAAAAGAAGGTTTCAAATTTTAATTTGCTGAAATACTATAAACAATGACTGACTTGTACGCCAATGTGAAATGCTTTATTCTCAATGATTGAAAATATAAAGTAAATTCCTTGAAGAATACTTTTCGGGTGAAACAACAGTGTTTAATTAGAAGGACTGAAGTGAATTATGGATAGATACTAATTCCAGATTCCGAAGATACAAAATGGAAATAGAAATTACTTGAAATGAAAGGGAAAAGAAAGATAACATAAACAGATTGGAATTTAATGGTGACGGACGGCCATTTTGTTTAACTCTTTTGTGTCATGGGCGTTGATTGGTTGATTGGTTTGGCGGGTGTGAGCGTATTTTTCCTAAAAGAAAGAGAGGATGATAGACAAAAAGATTTGAAGGAAAGAGTTGAGGCAAAAGAAAGACATTGAAGAGGCTAAAGTTATTAGAAGAGAAGAAAAAAGTGAAGTAGGTGCTGAAGAAGAGAAAATAAAGAAGTGTATATATATATATATATATATATATATATATATATATAACAAATTCTTCTACACACACAGAGTATATATATATATATCATAGTGTATTTAGGCAGCAATCTTTCATTTATACGTGCTTTATCCTTATATATATATATATATATATATATATATTGATGCATGTTTCCTTAAATTTCCAAGCAATGCCAAACTCATGTATACGAGACATAAAAGTGAAAATTGCACTGCAGCTCGTGATATCACACATGACCACACGAGAGTGAAGACGAGAAGTATTAATGGCTTCCCATACTAAATACTTCTCGTTTTCTCTTCCGTGTCTCATATACACGAGTTTGTCATTGCTTGGAAATATTTCATGCAACAAAAACAGACTATCATTATTGTTTTATCAGTGTATTGTTTAATATATTGAAATGTAATTGCCATCTTTGATAATGTCTTATGTAAGCTGAAAGCTTAGATAGGATTAAAAAACATGTATCAATATGGTGATTTTCTTTCATCTTTCAATGATAATGTTATTAAGCTCATCAGACAATATGAAAGGAATTTACTTAAAATAAATAGACAAAACTTGTCTATATTATTTAATAAAACATGCATCAATGAAAAAATGCTGCCTAAATACACACAATATATATATATATATATATATATATTAATTAAATAATTAAGAAAGAAAAACATTAGTGTTCCATGACTATAATTTATTTCCACAGAAAATATATTCTTCCTGGTTCATCAGGTCACATCTCTAGTTACAAAAATAACAGATGAACCAGGAAAAATATATTGTCTGGGGAAATAAATTATAGTCATGGAACCTTAAGGTTGGCTCTTTCTTAATTATTTCATTAATATTTGCTCTATTCCACACAGATTACCAAACCCTTCATTACCTTACTATATATATATATATATATATATATATATATATATATATATATATATATATATATATAATATTAGTGGTAAATATGCACATACATATGCAAAATATATATACACATAGGTGCATACACATACATGTATATCTTTTAATAAAAATTCCAAGAGGATAGAATCCAGGTAGAACTCAATGTCCAGGATAGAGTAAGGATATAATAAAAAGGCTTAAACAGTAATTATTATTATTATTATTATTATTTATATATATATATATATATATATATATATATATATATATATATATACACATTTCATTAAAGACAGCAGACAGGGTACTATGATTAAGCATTTTATTTAATTTTTCTTGTGTTTGAACAAGTGTTTTCTTTTTTGGACTCATGAGTGCTTTCAACTATACTTTCCGCCCTTATCAAGGATGATTTTGTTTTTGCTTTTTAATTGGGTGTATGGTTTGTGTATATGTTTTTAGAGTTATACGGATGTTTTATTTTCCAAGCACAGCACATTATCTATGAGTTCAAATGTTCCTTAAGGAACTGTGTCCCTGATCAAACCAAATTCATAAACAATTACATCAGTCACACAACTACATGCCTATCTAGATGCCTTACATTACACCTCTCTGACCACAGCTCTTTCAGAATTCATTTAAACACACACACAAACTTACCAGACTCCATCCGAAACATACTAGTAGAAAATACAAACATAATAACCTCATCTACAAGTAAAAAAAGATTAAAAATAATGGAAGCCTTAATAATAAAAAAGAAAAAGCCAAAACTTAATAATATTAACTATGAACATGGTCACAATGTGCTGACTGTGTTTGGAAAATAAAACATTTCTAGAACACTAAAAATATACACACAACCCATACACCCAATTACAAAGCAAAAATAAAATCATCCTTGCAATGGCAAATCTATATATGGAAATGACATTAGAATCTACATCACTAAAGCCAACCCTATGGCTGGGTTACATAGATGACATCTTCATACTCTGACCACACCAGGAAGAGGTCCAACAACTACTGGACCATGTGAACTCAATAAGATCATCAATACAGTTCACAATGGAGAGAGAAAACAAACAACAAACCGGCCTTCCTGGATATCTCGAACAGAACATGGGTTCAAGACATCCATATGCCACAAACCTACATTCACTAGACAATACATCAACTTCAACTCCCACCACCCATACAGTGCAAAGAAAAGGATCATCCACTGCTTACTACATCAAGCAAATGTCATAAGTGGTGACCCAGAGATATATGAACAAGAAATGGTCAGTATAAGCAATACCCTACAACATAACAACTAACCCGGGTACATGACAGAAGTTCCGAAAAACTGGGATCAAAGGATACAAGAGGATAACAACACTCAGAAAATAGCTTTGGTCAGCTTTACTCGATGTGAAGAGATTATCAGAAAAAATACAAATATAATATCAGGATAACATTCAAAAGTGGTTCAACACTTCGTCCGAGTAAGACACCTCCATAGAGGAGAACATGACTAAGAACTGTGTGTACAACATCCTTTGTAGCTGTGGTAAGAAATATAAAGGTAAGACTGCAAGAACATCATATAGTGGTAACATGAAGGGAAATAGAAAAATCAGGTGTAGTGGATGAAGTAAAGGGTTTGGTTTGAAATTCAAATCAACTGAAGAATGTCAGAGCATACAATGGCTGAAACATTATGAATATAGCAATGAAGATGAGGATAATAGTCCGAATAATGTAAATAATGTAAGTAATCATAATACCTCATCTCAGAGATAGAGACATAGACAGATAGATAATGAACTGACTGAGATAGATAGATAGATAGATAGATAGATAGATAGATAGATAGATAGATAGATAGATAGATAGATAATGAATCAACTGAGATAGAAGGAAAGATAGATAATGAAGCAACTTAGATAGATAGATAGATAGATAGATAGATAGATAGATAGATAGATAGATAGATAATGAATCAACTGAGATAGAAGGAAAGATAGATAATGAAGCAACTTAGATAGATAGATAGATAGATAGATAGATAATGAATCAACTGAGATAGAAGGAAAGATAGATAATGAAGCAACTTAGATAGATAGATAGATAGATAGATAGATAGATAGATAGATAGATAATGAATCAACTGAGATAGAAGGAAAGATAGATAATGAAGCAACTTAGATAGATAGATAGATAGATAGATAGATAGATAGATAATGAATCAACTGAGATAGAAGGAAAGATAGATAATGAAGCAACTTAGATAGATAGATAGATAGATAGATAGATAGATAGATAGATAGATAGATAGATAAACAGTTCAAGTATTTTTTCAAAATGATCTGTAACAATTTTGGAATAATAAGTTTTTACAAACAAGCACAGAATCTTTACTCCTTTGCCTGAGTAAAAATTGAAAACAAGGATTATTTATAGCTCGTAATTGTCTGTTATTCATACTGAAATGAATAAATTTTCAATGGCCAAAACATTGTGAATATGACAATAAAGATGAAGTCTGAACAATGTGAATAGGGTAAATGGTTACAATACCTCATCTCAGAAATACAGAGAGATCCTGAAGAAGGCCAGAGTGTACAACAGCCGAAATGTCATGAATATGGCAATAAAGATGCGGACAACAGTCTCATCAATGTAAAGAGTGTAAATGGTTTCAATACTTCATCTCAGAAATATAGACAGATCCTGAAGAAGGCCAGAGTGGACAACAGCCGAAATGTCATGTATATGGCAATAAAGGTGAGAACAACAGTCTCGGCAATTTAAACAGTGTAAATGATTTCAATACTTCATCTCAGAAATATAGAGAGATCCTGAAGAAGGCCAAAGTGTACAACAGCCGAAATGTCATGTATATGGCAATAAAGGTGAGAACAACAGTCTCGGCAATTTAAACAGTGTAAATGATTTCAATACTTCATCTCAGAAATATAGAGATCCTGAAGAAGGCCAGAGTGTACAACAGCCGAAATGTCATGTATATGGCAATAAAGGTGAGAACAACAGTCTCGGCAATTTAAACAGTGTAAATAGTTTCAATACCTCATCTCAGAAATATAGACAGATATATTTTCATTCCTTTCTCTTTTTATGTCAGC